CGTGTCTCCACATTGGTAGCACCGAGGAGGGTCACGACACTTACCGGCGTGGCTCCTGTTGCAATTTCGGCACCTGGGCGCTGTCGAGGCTTGTGAGCCCGAGTTGTGCCCGCCGAAAGCCGAGTTTCCCTTGGATGGCGGCGCCGGTGCCCTGAACGATCCTCCTCCCCCGTGGTTCCCCTTTTTGTTAGAACCTTGTGGGCCATGGCTTTCCCACTTCCTCTTCTTCGCCTCCTCGGCGTTCCTCCGCTTTCTTTCCTCCCACTCCTTCTCTCCCTTCAGGCCCTGTTCAACCACTTGACTAAACGTCATATTAGGCAATTGTGTTGCCCTCTCGCGTATGTCAAGGTCTAAGGCATCCCAGAAGTGGTTCACCATCCGGTTCTCATCACATATGTACTCCGGTATGAATTCGGCAAGCTTTCTGAACTTGTGCTCAAGTTCCTTCACCGTACATGTGCCACCCTGTGTCAAGTTCGTATACTCCCTCCTCTTCATGTTTACCTCGAAGTCGGAGTAGTATTGGTTGAAGAACTCCTGCCGAAAGTTCTCCCATGTGACGGCTTCGCCGTATTTTCCTTTGACCCCGTCCCACCACGTGGACGCCATGCCTTCGAGCAATCTTGTTGCCACCCTCAATTTCATGATGGGTGGCAGCTGCATGTCAAGGGCCGCCTCGTTGAATCTTTTGATCCATTCGGCTGCAACGGAGATGTCTCCCGTTCCATCAAACGGTTTACATCCCAAATCTCGTGCTTCTTTGATAAATTTGGAGATCCTTATGGTTGGACCTCCCACATCTTGGCCTCCATGTGGTTCAACATGGACTCTAGAAGCACCTTGGCTTCCCCCTCTCGAAGCCATGCCCGAAGGTTGCCCCGTTCGGCGCCTTCGACGTTGTCTCCTCTCTTCGCGCTCCCGGTGGTATTGTTGGAGCAGCGCCTCGATCCTCCCAAGAGTGCCATCGTCTTCACTCTCTTCACTCACATCGTCATCTTCCCCATCATATGGGGTTTCCACCGGCTCGGTTTCCGGCCTATAGGTTGAGTCCTCATAGGACCAATAAGTCTCACTCTCGGTGTCCACGTGGCCATCGCTCACGGTTTGTTGTTGGCCTCCACGGCCCCTTCCCCTGGACACCCTAGCGGACCCCCGGCTGCCGCGTTCGGACCCACCCGGTACACGGCCCGTCGGGTTCCTCCTAGTGATCCTTCCACTTGGCTCCATTTCTGAAAGAAGTTTAGAATGGGCCGTTAGACTCGTATCAAATGTCAAGTGACGGATAGGTACTTAAGGACATCTTTTGGCTCAAATCACCGCCATGCCAATTGTTAAGGGTACCATCTTAACAATTAGAGACTTTGCAACTCAAGTACCAAAAGTTCTATAAGTACAAAACTTTATGCTCATGGTTTTCAAATTCTTTTTCAAAAGGAATTTTGAAGCTTCATTATGAAGTTTACGGACTAAGGCTCTGATACCAATTAAATTGTCACGCCCCGGGCCTATCCGGACACGTCAACAATCCGCCGTACAGTACGAATAGTCAACCGCAGTCCAACACATTCATACTATACAAGGCGTCTGGGATATCATTCACACATAGTACATCCATAAACAAACATAATGTAAAATATTCATTCAAAGCAGCGGAAACGTTTGATACAAGTGTTCAAGACTTCATGCCACACTTGGCGAAACATGGGCATACAAGCCATCAAATAATTATTCAAAAGATAACATCCATGAGCATTAATTTAAATGATTTTAAAACAGGAACGGAGGAAGCACGAACCACGTCTTCTTCTCCTGAATTCTCTTGGAGCAACGGCGATGGTAGCAACCTTCAAGTTCTACCTGAAACTGTGAGGTGGCCTCCCCCGTGAAGGGGAGGTCAGTACTTGGAAGCATTTGACAAGTACAATGACAACTATACTAAGTATAATCAAAGTTTCAATTTCCAAGACCCTCAATCTAAGATGTTATTCATTTATAATTAACTCATGTCCTCCATGCTAGAGCTCGGCTCATAGTCATATCAATTTGTGCTAGAGCTCGGCTCATAGTCACCCTACGTTTGCTAGAGCTCGGCTCATAGTCATACTAATTTGTGCTAGAGCTCGGCTCATAGTCACCCTACGCTTGCTAGAGCTCGGCTCATAGTCATACTAATTTGTGCTAGAGCTCGGCTCATAGTCACCCTACCACGTGCTAGAGCTCGGCTCATAGTCACGTCAACTAATCCCTAAACCACTTCTTAGTCTAGGTTCCATCCATTTTGAGTAACCCCTAAGGCTCACTCCAAATGTAACTTGAGTTCATAACAATTTGAATATTTCAATAAAATTCCTCATTCAAGTATAACTTGGCTCTAATATCAAAATATCACTTTTATCCTTCCATGACTTTCTTACATGAGGTAAAAGTATATTTATCACAATTTAGTTTATAGTTTACACAACTATTATGTCATTGTATTCATAACACACAATCATACACAATTTGTTCATAAATTTGTATATTATGCATTTTTACTTATAAACAATAATAATCTCATTTAGGCATTTTTTTATTATAAATAAATCATGCCAAACACATATAATTCATTTAGGTAATCTTATGAAATTAACCCAATAATTATAAGCAATATAGTCGGTCATCCTCACCTTAAGTGAGCTTAAGCGTGTTCTACGCTCCGCGGTTGAACTTTGACTATTTCCGGTGAACTTTGACCAACTCCGGCCAACTTTGACCAACTCCGGCGAAACTCCGGCGAAGCCCAAAGATACTCTAAATCAAGTTCCTAACAAGGTTTTAACATCATAAAACCTTAATCAATACACATAACCCTTAAAAGGTTATTTTCCGGTGAACTTGTCGGTTTGGCTCCTAAGTCCGTTTTTGGACTTAGAACCCCCTTCCAACCCATCATTCTACACTTAACTCATGTGGAACAATCATAGGGTTTTTTCCAAATTTCTCAAATAACAATATATTCAAGAAAAAGAGAAGAGAAGAGTAGATGAAGTCATTACCTAGCTTTTTCTCAAGTTTTGTACACTTTAGACCTTAAACTTTTTCCCTGGAGCTTCCTCCTTGTTGGAACTTCCTTCAACAATGGTGAGAGGTTTTTGAGAGCTCCTTCCTCTTGCTGGATGGGTGTTTGGCCGAAATGATCAAGGGACAAGGGGTGGGTGAGCCTTTTTGTCTCAATAGTATGAGTGGAGTGTGGGAGAGGCCCACCTTATTTGTTTGATGCCTTTCCCCTCACTTCACACTCCTCTCCTATCCCCTCCACACTCCTCCAGCCGGCCAAGGCCTTGAAATGTGTGTCCAATTTCGTGGGTTGGCCCCCACCCATGTGGGAGGTCAACCCTTTTTGTCCAGAAGTGTACACTTTGTCCCGAAAGTTGTATTTTTCGGACCTTTTAAAATATGTTTTATTTTATCGGGTCAAATAAAATATATTATGTGCTCTCCATCATTAAGACTCTTATGATGAATATTCATACCCCAACTTTAATTTATAAGTCCCCGAAATTCAATTTCGGGCTTTTATCGGTTAAATTGCCAATACCGGTATTTAGGCCTCTTTGACCAATCGGTCAACTCCGGACCTTTCCATGGCTCAAATGAGTTATCCTCCACCATATAAATATTATCTAGACCGAGATGGATAGTTTATGTAGTCCCGGGAATATTGGGCGGCCCCCGCTCCCGGTGCGGGCCCCACGTGCGAATTTACTATTCACGCAAAATAATTAATAAAAATCCATAACATTGTAAACTCATTAACCATTCCACAAGGTTACATACAATATTATTCACTTAAAAGTAAATACGTTTGGGGACGGTGTTACAATCTTCGCCCAACTCTTCCACCATGTTCACAACCCTGCCCTACCACCCACCAGCCCTGCCCCCCACTACTAGCCTAGCCAACCCATCCACCCAAGCCCCCTTCCAACAATCGGCTCATCCACCCAAAACAATAACTTCACCGATATAGCCCTTAGAACACCCGTCGTGCGCCGTCACCCAAGAACCTCACCCGTGTCGCTAACGCATCGACCACCAAAGCCGCATGTGCACCAACAAGCTCAACCCCAGTCACTACCCTAAAAAACCCCAACCCCAACCCCCAACAGCCCTACCCCCCACTACTAGCCTAGCCAACCCATCCACCCAAGCCCCCTTCCAACAATCGGCTCATTCACCCAAAACAATAACTTCACCGATGTAGCCCTTGGAACACCAGTCGTGCGCCGTCACCCAAGAACCTCACCCGTGTCGCTAACGCATCGACCACCAAAGCCGCATGTGCACCAACAAGCTCAACCCAGTCACTACCCTAAAAACCCCCACCCCCACCCCCAACAGCCCTAGCCCCCCCATCACAGCCCCACAACCCTAGCCCATGGTCACCGCCCTCACTCTCCTCGCCACAAACTAAGTCTTCGAATCATCTCTCGATCAAAGAGGTGAAGGTTATCAACGAGATGCTACAGCTGATCGAGCGGCTACCTCGCTGCAAACGTCTTTCGCCAATTCTGAAGAGCAGAAACGAGAAGATGAGAGGATCTGCAGCTCGGATGCGTAGGTGACGTGAGGTCAGACGTGGAGGCTGCACGGTGTGCAAGCGTGGAACGACAACAAGCGATGGTGGCGTAGGTAGCGTATCGACGACGGCAATCTGAAATCTAAAATGGAAGAGAAGGAAGAGAGGAAAGGCTAGTTCAAGGATTAGGGTTTTTAGGATTGGAATTATATCAGGGGCGTTTTTGTCTAAACTAAAGCTGGTAGTATTATTTCTGTCATTATTCCAACTAACAATCTGAATGAGAGAGTAGAAATATAATGTTTGTACATCTAATTAAGTCAATGCAGCTTAATATATTAGCAACCCGTCTATCAATCTATGATTTATCCCCCCAGCCAGTATTTAATAATAAAATCTTTTCGACCATGCATGCATATACTCCATATTATTTATCAGGTAGTAGTGGATAATGGCTTTCTAAGAATTACTTTTTCGACTCCCGCTGGAATGGTTACTCAAGTTCAATACAATGGAATTCACAATTTGCTCGAAGCTCAAAATTTGGAAAACAATCGAGGGTACGTGCATATATAATAACTACTTACATACCATTATTTTGTAATTTTATATATGGTTGTATACATAGATACATACAATAATGGTTGCATTGTAACTTAAATCCTTATCTCAATTTGTAGATACTGGGACATTGTATGGAATAAAGCAGATGCGCGTGGCAATATTTTTGACAAGTAAGTCCCCCTAGCCTATGCCACAAGTTTAAGATATAATATTTAATCTAAATAAATACATGCTTCCAAATAATACACTACTTCTTAGCTTGTAATAATAAATAGAATCTCCGTCCCGACTTAAGATTTTGACACCTTTTTTAAACAATAATTATAGAAGGGTAATTTGAGTGCATTATGTTTGCATATACCAATTATTTTTGAAAATTGGTTTGGGAGGATTTATACTAGCTATAATTAGGTAGTTGATGATAACTAAGATATGATATTATGAGTGCATTATTTTTAATATACGACGATTACTTTATCATTTAATAGTGTTACTTATTTCCTAAAATATATATAAATAAGAACTGTTAAATAAGACATTCAAAAGAAATAAGTGATGAGAATCTTTACCTCCCGCAGAATGAGTATTTGATTAGTGTTAACTCTGTTTTAGCTTAAATAATTTACAGGCTTGAGGGGTTTAATTACATGACAATAATGGATGATGACGATCAAGTAGAGCTTTCGTTCACACGGAAATGGGATACTACGTACAATGACTCAGTTCTTTCCATGAATGTTGACAAAAGGTACACTACTCCTATTTTATTCTTCCTGTACGAGCGCGCACACATATGTCTAGAGCTTTGTTGATTTGTTACATGAGTATTACTAATAAATTAAACGAGTATATGGACAAAAAAGAAACTTCTTTTAGTTTCTAAAAATGTGATCAAATAACTATAAACAAATCTGATCACATAGTATCACAAAAAAGTGTGATAAAAGAGATCATCAAACTCGAAAACCCTTGTTATATAGTACTAAATTACCTATATCAATATTCAATGACATTATCCTTGAAGTGACTTATTGGCCCATCGTTACACCGACCTTATCGGCCCTGCACCAACGATTTCACCTCAACTGCGTAGTCACATAGTCACTACACGACGGCCAATGAGATGAGTGGCCGACTGGTCCAAGCACCGGCTACCAGGTGACCCCATTGACCCGCTACTCTAGTCACTGACCCATTGACAATGGTGCCCACATAGACTACAATTCCCGACCAGTTACATGCATGCTGCCCCCACCCATGTTTCTCACATCCCAACCCAATCCCTTCTCTATTGTCTGGCATACCCTCTGCCCTAACCCCACCCAAAACCATTGCACTAAGTACCTATGTAGCACCGATAGGGGTACACGGAAACGGGTATGAGGATACGACAAAAAAAAAGTAGGATACGGATATGAGGCCATATTTATAAATATTAAAAGTTATGGGGGTGTATTTATGAATATTAAAAGTTACATGGGTGTATTTATAAAGATTAAAAATACATTTTTTTGAAAAAAATAGACATATATTATCCTCTGACTTCTACTCGATCATTCATGGCATTGAAGCATTTTACATTTTCAAGATACTTGAAAATAAGTTCACATTTATCTCATATACACTAGTGTACCTCAAAGAAATATAAATATAGTCAATAAATCATTAATTTAAAATGAGAAATATGTCAAAAAACAACAGTTTATAATTAAAAATACAACTACTCAAAGTTCTAGAATAATGAATATAGAAAATAATATCTTAGAAGTTCTAATACATATTTCCGTTGGAGCTACTAATTTTTAGGGATAATTAAAATTAGAGATAGGAGTGTAACGCCCCTCTCAGGGTTAAAGGAAACGTTACACTAACTTACTACTTTTAAAAATAACTGCAATATAATGGCCATCTATTTAAGAAAAATAACCCTGATAAAATCTCAAATATAACTAAAATATAGCTTCAAATAAAAACTCAATAAAATCTAGTTATCACCGGCAAATGTGATAACCACCTGGATCCAGGAATTTACTGAACTTCAAATCCTCAAATAAAAATAGAGTAATATTTATCACTTTATTATAACACTGAAATACTGAAAACTAAATAATATCTAGCCAGAAGCCGCCAAGGTCGTTGTTTTAGCCAGATTTGGACAAGCTAAAACTAATTGATTGGGTCTCGTACAAGAAAGGTAAAGAAGATGACAAGAACAACAAGAAAGATGCTAAGAGAGCAAAACATAGTGAAATTTAGAGTGTTCTTCGAATGGGTGGCCCCTGAATACAATGGAGCTGGGTTCTATTTATAAGAGAGACATTTAATCCTCTTTTGCCCGTTATTGACGGTTTCGACCGTTACGACGACATCAAAGTCGTCGTCATTATGTCGTCATAAATTCCGGTCAGCCATTTGAGTAACTTACGCCCTAATTACAGCAATAACTCTCATAATATACATGAAACCGCTAGAATTAATAAGCTAGCATTAATTCTAATGAATACGTCATTAATTGTCCCGGTCAAGCCTTCCATGTTGTCAAATTCCTGTACCAACAATAGCCCCCTTTCGAGAAGTTGAGGCGTATCATGCATATGTCAGCAACAACTTGTCGAAAATTGAAAGTACACTTCGCATCTTGTTTTATTGCATCGTGACATGTTGATCAACTTATTTGACTGAATGCTTCCGTATTTCTTTCGAATAACCTCCAATTAGATCTGTCTCCTTGACCGAAACAATGAAGCCAGCAAGCTAGAATTTTGTCCTTTTCCCTTCAAAGTTGTGCTGACGATTAGTTGCCAGAAATTTACAACATCATCATGTCGATGTCGACACTTCAACTGGCAAAGGGAACATCACCCGTTGTTAAAGATGACGAGTTGGAATGTGTGAACATAGTCCATAACCTGTAAAAGACTTTGAATAATGTTTCGTTTGTAATTTTTTCAACATTGTTGACATGAGTGTGTGTAATTTGTGTCATTGTCGTTCGTAGTGTCTCCTTATGTTTTGGAGCTTCTGTTGTCATGCTTTTGGAGCATATGCTTTTGTTGTATATTTCTGTAGTTTCGTTGTACGTGTGTTGTCATATTTGTTTTGGTTGCACATGCGTTATAGGTTTTGGCCAAAACGTATTGTATGGGCTCTGTTAGGACTGTGATCCATGATATTCTCATGGGCAGCCTAACCCTTCCCATTAAATTCTGTAAGCCCCCCGTCAATTGTGTTTTGACGTGTTGTAAGGCTTCGTTTAATGTAAGCCCCCCATCAATTGTGTTTTGACGTGTTGTAAGGCTTTGTTTGATGTAAGCCCCCCGTCAATTGTGTTTTGACGTGTTGTAAGGCTTTGTTTGATGTAAGCCCCCCATCAATTGTGTTTTGACAGGTTGTAAGGCTTTGTATGTTTGGACATCGTCTCGTACATTGTCAACGGTTCCTGCGCAAAAAGAAATTGTTAACGTCGGCCCTTGGTTAGAAGCCCAATCATCCCTTGTTTGACGTAGTTAGAGGATTGTGTCTAGTTATCGTTAGCAGTTGTCGTTGTATGTGTACGGTGCTGGCTGTCTCTCATTCTGTCGATATCCTGCATACAGACATGTAGTCAGAGTCTGGTCGTTGGGTTTTAGCCAACGGCCCTCCGACGCTTAAGTCAGTGATCGTTTATAGATAAATGAAAGTAATAAATTAAGAATATGTATATGAGACTAAGTATCTATCGTCATAACACGTCTATAGCCAGACGATTTCACTCATCTCGTCAGGTTTATTACCTGATGACATTCCCCCCTTGTCCGACGATTTCAGTAATGTCGACTGGTCTATTTCGTTACGGGAATGACGACAATATGTAAAAGAAAATAATAAACTAAATGTGAAACAACTTTAAGAGTAGCATATTGCAGCTCCTTAGAACCTGTTTATTATTGGGCGACGTGTCCCCTAGCCGACGACTTCAGACATGTCGACTGATCTGTCAATCGTCGGTTTCGTCAAATACACCAATTTGTCGTTTCTACTGACTTCCAAGGCCCGACACATTCCTAGATTTGCCAGATCGTCATCCTACGTATTCTCTTCCCTCGGGACTTAGCTTGTTGGGTGGTACGTTCGTCGAAACAAGTCGTCGGGATTTTGATGATGTCAATGTTTCCCTTCGTTTTTGGATTCTTTGCGATTGCTTTGCTACCGAAAATGCGCCTAAGTACCCAACCGCATAAGGAGGCTCCAATAGTACATTTTGACGAAATCATCACATCATCTGCACACAATTCCATGGTTTTCCCGCTTTGATTTTTGAACACCATTGTCATTGGCCATTAAAAGTTTCTCCCAACATTTTAAGTCCGTAAGGTATTGTCGAGTTCAATGAGATGAAACCAGTGGTGACGGTTGTTGTATGAGCAGTTGACAAGATGACAGTTTTTGTTTCTTCCTTCCCAACTTTAGATTGCATCTTGAGTCATGCCTTTGTCATTGAGCTATGATCTTCCATGGATGGTAGTTTTTCTTGCACGTTTCCCACAGACGGCGCCAAATTGTTTTAGCCAGATTTGGACAAGCTAAAACTAATTGATTGGGTCTCGTACAAGAAAGGTAAAGAAGATGACAAGAACAACAAGAAAGATGCTAAGAGAGCAAAACATAGTGAAATTTAGAGTGTTCTTCGAATGGGTGGCCCCTGAATACAATGGAGCTGGGTTCTATTTATAAGAGAGACATTTAATCCTCTTTTGCCCGTTATTGACGGTTTCGACCGTTACGACGACATCAAAGTCGTCGTCATTATGTCGTCATAAATTCCGGTCAGCCATTTGAGTAACTTACGCCCTAATTACAGCAATAACTCTCATAATATACATGAAACCGCTAGAATTAATAAGCTAGCATTAATTCTAATGAATACGTCATTAATTGTCCCGGTCAAGCCTTCCATGTTGTCAAATTCCTGTACCAACAGTCGTTCCCGTCAACTCATCTTGGCACGCGTTCCACTCTCTCATCATCTTCCTCGGCCTGGGCCTTACCCTTAGCTTTAGTATCTGTACATGCGAAGAAACAAAACTGATAAGCTTTACACTTAGTAAGTCACTATGGATCCACAAAAATATATAGAAGTCTATGCCAATTTATCAATAGATAACTTTAGGCTATAAGCATGCACTGAACAGATAACTAACACACAACTTCTCAAATACATTCTGAGGGAGATCTCAAAAGGAAAATATTTTCTAAAATAATTTTTCAAAACTGTCGGAGAGATCTCAAAATTTCTTTCTCAAAACATCTCTGTAAAACTTTCTGAAGAGATCTCAAAAACAACTTTCTGTAAAACTTTCTGAAAGAGATCTCATTAAACATTCTGTAAACTCTTTGTGGCTAATTTTAACTGTGGGCCCGTGATATGTACTCAAAGGCGCCAATCCGACAGTTCAGGGGAGCGACCCACTAAACATATCGGACTATCTGAAACTGAAAACTGCTAATCTGAGGGAAGTTGTTCCCGAGTACATATCACCTTATCTTTCACTTTAAATATTAGTTCTTTTTATGGTGACGTTTTAAAAAAAAACATCATTAAATCTGAAAACTAAAGAATTGACAAATCTTGACTATGCTAGATAATAAACACAACTTAATACAGCAAATAAAATAACTCAGCAAATAATTCACCAGGTTCACATAATAGCACATAGACTAAAATCATCTATTAAAAATCAACCAGACTTCTTTCTTTTATTTGGTTGA